AAAATACAAGAAAAAAGGAAGCTTTATCTTTTCTTCTACTCTCGAGAGAGCAACAATGGTGGAAGTGATACCAAAACACATCAAAGACGTGTGGGATAGATGGAACATAAGAGGAGCAATCATTCTGAGTCTTAGCCTTCAAGCAATTCTCATTTGCTTCTCTCCTTTAAGGAAACGCACACCAAGAAGGGTCTTGATCATGCTCGTTTGGTCTTCTTATCTCTTAGCAGATTGGTCTGCTAATTTCGCTGTTGGTCTCATCTCCAAGAATCAAGGTAAAGACCCAAAACCTGATGATCCTCCTCAGGACAAAAAGCTCATGGCTTTATGGGCACCATTCTTGCTCTTGCATCTTGGTGGACCAGACACAATCACAGCTTTTGCCCTTGAAGATAACGCTCTTTGGCTCCGACATGTCTTTGGGCTTGTCTTTCAGGCAATTGCTGGTGTCTATGTGGTTCTCCAGTCTCTGCCAAATAGCCTTTGGGTTATTATACTCTTAGTCTTCATTTCTGGGACTATCAAGTATCTGGAGAGGACAACAGCTCTGTACAGTGCGAGTTTGGACAAGTTTAGAGATTCTATGATTCAAGCACCAGATCCAGGACCAAACTACGCCAAGCTCATGGAGGAGTACAAGGCCAAGAAAGAAGCAAGACTACCCACAAAGATCATTCTGATTGATGAGCCTGACAAGGAGCATAGGCCTAAGAAGCTAGTGCATCCATCATTGGTCTTGCCTGACGAAAAAAAGGAGTCTCAGCATCTACCAAATGCCTTGCCTGGAGGAAAAAAAGTGGGAAGAGAAAAGTTGCACGATCTTGAGATTGTGCAGTATGCTTACAAATTCTTCAACACATTCAAGGGCCTTGTAGTCAACCTTATCTTCAGCTTCAGGGAGCGAGACGAGAGCCTAGAGATCTTTTATAATTTGCATGATTCAGAGGAAGCTTTGAGGATCATTGAGGTCGAGCTTGGTTTCCTTTATGATGCTCTATTCACCAAGATCGCGGTTCTGCATACCTTTATCGGAAGTGTCTCCCGATTGGTTGCTTTTGGTACCCTTCTGGCTGCCTTCATCCTCTTTCTCAAAAAACCGAACAAAGGCCACGAATTTGATGGAGCTGATGTCGCGGTTACCCTCACGCTGTTCATTGTTGGCATAGCTTTGGATATCATATCCGTCATCTTGTTTCTGTTCTCCGACTGGACGTATGCTGCACTAAGCAGCCTGAAGGATGACCCCGATGAGGCTGTAAAGTCCTGGCACGATAAAGCTTTTGACTGGCTTCTTAGTTTCAGACAGTTGCATTGGACGACGAATCAAAAGTGCCACCAAGATGCACACAAGTGTACCGAAAAATGTAAGAAACCGTGTCCCAAGGAGGTTGTGGATAAGTGTTCAGAGGGTCATACTCATGACGTGCTCTCGACGAATTTCTTCCTTCGGAGATGGTGTGGAAGCATCAATGTATTCAACTTTCTAGCTTACGCCACAAAAGCAGAGGTACATAGGATCCACGACGCCAGAGGTAGTATCCGCCGCTACTCATGGATAATCATATCTTATCCATTCGAAAAAGTCTACTTCATTATCCAGACACTTAGTGGATGGATTGCCTATCCTATCAGTAGTGTGCACAAGTGGATCAGCCACATAGTCAATGAGAAATCAAGAAAACATACTTGGGCTCGTCGAACTATTTACCCATTCTATTTCGGTTTCATATCCCGTATTCCTCACGCCATCAAATATGTGTGGGATTTCTTCAGTGACTTGTTGGACATTGCGGATACGGTTGATATGGTCCAGAAGACGCTATTTGTACACGGAGAGCCCATGACGAGAGAACTGTGGGAGTTCATCTTCAAACAGCTGAAATACAAATCAAAGTTTGGAGACAGTCCTGAAAATGCCAAAAGGATATCTTTGGCTCGGGGAGAGTGGTCGTTGCGTGACAACCTGCCAGAGAGCGCAGACCGTGAAAAGCTGGTGCATTATGTGTCACAATTTGATTATGATCAGAGTCTTTTGATGTGGCACATTGCAACGGAGCTCTGTTACCAACAGAAGGATACCATCGCTGCGGATGAACACCATCACAGTTACCGTGAGTTCAGCAAAATCATCTCAGACTACATGATGTACCTCCTGATATTGCAACCTGGTCTGATGTCCGAGGTTGCTGGAATTGGGAAAATCCGATTCAGAGACACAATGGCTGAAGCTGACAAGTTCTTCCACAGGAGGCATATCGAGGACGAGAGAAGCGTGAAGAAAGCCAGCGACACAATCCTCGATGTCAAAAGTAAAATTGAACCAATGGGCGTCAAGGGAGATCGAAGCAAGTCTGTGCTGTTTGATGCGAGCAGGCTGGCCAAAGATCTTGCGGATATGGAGAAGAATTGTGACGTAGATAAATGGAAGATACTGAGCAAAGTGTGGGTGGAATTGCTCTGTCATGCAGCGTGTCATTGCGATTCTACAGCTCACGTGGAGCAACTCAGCAGAGGCGCGGAGCTCATCAACTTCGTTTGGCTTTTAATGGCTCACTTTGGACTAACTGATCAGTTCCAGATCAACAAAGGAGATGCCAGGGCCAAACTCATAATAGGCAAGTGATATCACAAAACAACTTTTGCATTTTCCTCATGTCTAAATTCATTCTGCATTGTATTTCCTCTACTTTCTGCTCGAAACCATGAACTCTTTGCTGCATAGAGATGGTGACACTGTATGCTTTTGTGATGGAATCTTCTGATATCTATTGCACTGTTTTCTCAACAATGAACTCTTTCTTCTACTTTCAACTCAAAACCATAAAGTGTTTTCTGCATAGAGATGATGACATTGTTGTATGCTTTTGTGATGGAATCTTCTTATATCTCTTTCACCGTTTGCTGAACAATGAACCATTTCTTCTGCTTTCTGCTCAAAACCATTGAATCACTCTTTGCTTTGCTGCATAGAGAATGATGACATTGTATGCTGATGTATGTTGCACATTTTCCCAAACATCTTTCATGGTCACATATTCCAACAAAAGGGGTTTATGACATATGTATGCTTCGAGATCAGTCTGGCTTGAGTCAAGATGGATCCTTAGAACCTGCAAAAGAAGAGTGATGTTCCAAATGAAAATGGAAATAAGAAGAAGGCTTTTAACTGACCCAAAAACTCAAGAATCTGCGAGAGAGAAGAAGAGTATCTCTCTTATAAGAATCCGCAATTGCATGTCGCCATTGAAACCTAACACAGCAAAGTAATTCGCAGACATAAGCTTGAAGATGTAATGTAAAACTCGAATAACTCTAATGATGATCTTCCAATACGACTGAACTAAGAAGAAAAACCACACAAAATCAAAAACCTCAAAATCGATACTTCAAAAAGCTTTTCATCATCCCATTGATTCTTTCAAGGATATCGAACCCTTTCTAGGGCTGGATCAA